TGGCGGGGGCCCCCCTCCCCCCCACCCTGCTGCCTCTATCAGGAACTGGTCCGTGAGGGGAGACAGTTTAAAAACCAGCCCCCCTCGCGAACCAGCTGCCTGTCTCCCAGCGCTGCTGCCTCTAGTACAAAGGTAGCAGTGCGGGGTGGCAGCAGCCCCTCTCCAGGAACTGGTCCGTGAGGGGAGACAGTTTAAAAACCAGCCCCCCTCGCGAACCAGCTGCCTGTCTCCCAGCGCTGCTGCCTCTAGTACAAAGGTAGCAGTGCGGGGTGGCAGCAGCCCCTCTCCAGGTGGGTGTGAGCTGGACTCAGTCTGAGCCGCACTGCCCGCCCGCCTGGCTCCTAACAGTTTAAATGCAGAGCTGCAGCAGGTGTTGGTCCTGGACCCGGCCCAAGCCGGGCAGCTGCCCAGCCTGCTAAAAGGTGGGGAGATGCATGTCATCTCCAGCATTAACCTATACGCTTTCGCTTTTCAGTTCACTGCCTACGCGGTTACATCCCTAGTCCCGGGATGAGCACAGGCCAGAGCTTTGTGCTCATTTTTCTGCGGTGGACTCGTTACTTCACTGCTATCGGCCTTGGCTCCGGAGATCCCCTCCATCAACCAAGCTGGCTTGGCCCCTGGAACGTATGCCCCCTTCTTCCCACAGGCCTGGTGTGCTAACAACCATTTAAGCGCCTCATGGGCACCAAAGGGCCTTTGGCACCTCCTAGGCAGAGCTGCCCCCCCTTCTAGTGGGTGACACTGGCCTGCTAGCACCCGACTGCCCATACAGCCACCCCAGGCTTTCCGCAAGGCGGACCAATCCATCGCTGAGCCCTATAACTTCCCCGACTACTGCTGGCTGGCTGCCTGCCGAGTCACAGCAACAAATGGATGCTGTCCTGGGCCATGGGCCTATCAGGGCAGCCCCATTCACCCAGGCCTGCTTTAAGGCCAAAATTCTGTAGGCCAGTGGTTTTCAAACTGTGGGATGTGGGGCGCTGGGGCTGGTTGCTGCAGGGGGATCAGGTGCCCAGCGGGGGGTTGAGGCAGCTCCCTGCCTGTCCTGCACTGCAGGCTGCACTGTGCCCCAGAAGCAGCCGGCAATAGGCCTGGCTTCTAGGTGGGGAGGAAGAGAGCGTGCATAGAGCTTCACACACTGTCCCTGCCCTGAGCACTAGCTCCGCACTCCCATTGGCCAGGAACCTGCTCCTGGCTGCTTCTGGGATGCAGCACGGTCTGCAGTGCCAGGAGACTGACTGGGAGCCACTGGATGTAGCCTCCTCCTGCCCCAGCCCTGGTACCCCCCAAAGCCAGAGCATCAACTATTTAATTCAACTGGGTCATGAGAAAACAAGCTTGAACCCCACAGCTGTAGGCCAATGCCTCGGGTCCCAGCTACTCCCAGCGTGTGCCTCTGTGAGAATTTAAAGACACACTCTCGCTCTTCCCCCTCCCCCTCATGGGGCTGAGGAAAAGCTTGATGCAACGGCTGCAGGGAGAGTGACCTGAGCCTGTGGAAAGCCAGTCCATGATCCACTCCTGGAGGTTCTGCCAGAGGCCCCTGCCCTTACTACAGAACCATGCGGGGCAGAAGTGAAGCCTTTCCAGCAGGGCTGGTCCTAGGGGCAGGTGGCTGCCACATCACTGCATTGCTTGGCTGTTTATTTGCTCTCCTGAGCGTGTGGCCATGACAACGTTTTCCATCTTGGGTGGCGTAACTGCTACCGGAGCCTTTGGGTACATAGTAGGTGGCCTCCCAGATCTTCCCAGCCACCACCCTGCTGCACCCAAGGCAGTCACAGGCCTTTGCCCTGTCTCAAAGAGAAAGAATCCCACCCCACCTGCCCCTTTCCATGCGGGAAGTGTGGCCCCACATTGTGCTCTGTTCTGATTGGTCCTGCCCCCTCCCACAGAGTCTGAAGATAAGTGTGGACATGGCACTGCTAGCGGTTAGCTCAGATTTTCACATTCGGCAACAAATGTCCATGGAGAGACATCAAAATATAAAAATCTAAAAGCATAAAAGCCTTTATTGTTATTTACAGTATAAAGGTTACACTTGCCCTTAAGTCACATTTTCATTGTAATGTACAATACTATACAGTTAATATGCAACTCAAGGGACAATAGGTGTCTGTATCTATATTTATAGAGTACATATAAAGCTTTAACATGATTGTCAAAGGCACAAAGACACAAATCCCCTGCTATCCCTACTTGGTTTATTTGGATCGATAACCTGGCAGTTCCAAAAGTTTGACGTTAAAACCTCAAGAGGGAAGAATTGTATAAATAGTGAACTACAAAATACAAAAATAGATTTGGTGGCATGTTATTTTAGTTTTTTCATGGGAGTATTAATCTGTGCCTTGATTCTATCATGTCAAACAGCATACAGAGACTTTGCACAGGTTAAAAATAAGTTTGTGTGTAGTGGTTCTGTGCAAGTTATTCTGTAGATGACCTGAGCCCATTTACACCTACAGGGTTTTTTGTCTTTGGCACCTGGGCCTTGTAATGCTCTATTTACCCCAACTGTAAACTTAACACTGATGCCCTGTAGTCATCTGAGATCCCCGACACTGGCTGATCTCAGACAGGCAGAAATGCTACAAGGGAAACAGAGCACTGCAAACATGGATGTGCCAAGGGAATTTTCTTTTCTTGTAGACAGAAAAGAGATGTCATTACAAATTAATTTATATTTAATGCCAAGTAGGACTAGCCCAGCATAGTTCCTCCAAATTCTAAGACATGAAAGTGAAATCAATGTTTTGATGTCCTGTGGTGCAGGCCAGGATGCTGCAGGGTGAGCAGCAGAAACAGAATTAACCCAGATAGCAAAATCCTGACAGCATAAAGGCAAAAGGTGAGGTAAGCTGCTGCAGAGAACCCTTGCTTAGCCTACACTGTGGTGCTTCAAGATGCTCTAGTCCATGTGGATCCCATGAAACACACGCGCACCTGGAGTGAGAACCACAGACAAAGAACATTTGCTTCTACTAATTGCACATCTGTTTTCTTTATTGCTTATTATCTAATGCAAAGAGGCTACTCACCTCACCAGCTTAATTTGGGCCAGGGTGCAGCCCTGGCAGCTCTAGGCTTGGCAGTTCCTAGCCCTGGTGCCTCTGGGCTTCCTGTGTCAGTTATCAAAGTCAAAAACCCTGCTTGAGCCCCAGCACTTGTCATTACAAATGAAGCACGGAGGCGATGTCTGCTTTCAGTTGTGTGAATTAACCCCAAGCACAGAAATGTAGTGGGGGAAAGTGGAAGGGTCTGAGAAGATTCTGCAGCGTTACCTTTGGGAGTTAATCCTACCAGTGCTGTTTAAGGGAGATGGTAGGAGGAATTGATTGATGAGGAGACTTTGAACAGTCTAAACTCCATTCCCTGATCACTTCTAAAGTCTATGCCGCTTGTGTAAGATCATTCACCATCATCTGCAAGCACCAGTCACAAGTTAATTACACACCACCAAACTGCTTGGGCCATATTTAAGCCGCTTGCCTGCTATTATTCCGATAGAACACACAAGCTCAGCAGAGATATTCTCCTCCCTCTGGTTTCCAAGGGTGACCTGGGATGCCTCTCAGTAGTGTTCCTTCCATATGGAATGCGGTAACAAGCTCTCAAGAGGTGAAGCACCACTAGGGGCATTTTCTACATAAGAGCGGCCAGCCTGGGTCAGACCAAAGGTCCACCTGGCCCAGTGTCCTGTCTGCCCACAGTGGCCAATGCCAGTGGCTCCAGAGGGAATGAACAGAATCATCAAGCGATCCCACCCATTCCCAGCTTCTGGCCAGCAGAGGCTAGAGCCACCATTCCTACCCACCCTGGCTAACAGCCACTGATGGACCTAACTGCTGTAAATGTAGCTAGTTCTTTTTGAACCCTGTTAAAGTCCTGGTCTTCACCACCTCCTCTGGCAAGGAGTTCCACAGGTTGGCTGTTGTGTGAAGAAATACTTCCTTTGATTTGTTTGAAACCTGCTGCCTAGTCTAGCTTTCCAACTCACCGCCCCTCTCAAACTCTGGAGGCTTGCATAGCAGCGGGAGGGGGCAGGCGCAGCATCTCTTGCAGACATTCCGAAGCCCTTTCCCCAGGGCAGGTCCCCAAGTTCTGGGAAGAGGGGAGAACAAACAAGGCCACGTGAGGCACTCAGTGTATGCCCAATGCAGATCAATCGAGTACCTCAAGGCTTCTAGGGAGAAGCTGAGGCAGTAGGGGCTTTGAGGATCACAAATTCAGTTTGCTTTCAATAGCCAGTTAAAGCATTAGAAACCTCAAAGACGAGGAGGACGCGAGCTTCCAGAGGAAGTGATGCCTCGTGGTGTTCCAGGGGCCCTGCCGCATTCGGCACTGGTGCAGAGATTCGGCAGGAAAGAGACAGCCCTGGGGTGATGTAGGCCGAGTGCAAACTGGCAAGTTTCCCTGAGTACCTTTGATCCACAGACCTGGGCTTCCCTCTGGAGGCTGATGAACGAATGAAGGTGGATCTGGTGGGGACACAGATTCTCTGGGGACTAGGCTTACAGCTCAGTGGTTTCTCTGGTGAGGCCAGTCAGAGTCAAACTCGGGCTTTGTGGCAAACAGCCCAAAAGCAATTGACAAATATACTTCACACTCTACAGCCTGGGAAGGACCGTTTGTCTGTGGGGGGAGTTTCAGGCTGGCAGCATGAGCCTTTCTGCACAGTAACTATGCCACATTGGGTGCAGCCAGGCACACAACCCTGGGTGGCTACAAGGCAGGACGAAGCACTCCCCCAGCCACCTGCAAAAATCCAAACACACTGGCTGAAAACCTCCTGGTCAGCCAGCATCCATCCTGCGCAGGCGGATTTGACATCTGTGCTTCACATTTCAGGTACCGCCTCCACCAGGGCTTTGCTAGCAACAGGCAACTTGGGACATGCTCACCCCACAGGCCGCAGGGCAATCCCAGGTGTTTGGTACAGATCGTGAGCAGTTCTGACAAGCAGAGACCACCACCGAGCTTAAAACAGCAAGCCCTCAACCCCTCAGTGTTAGCACCAAATTCAACAAATGGAGAAAGTGCTTCATCCTTCCCGGAAATCCTCAGGGATATTTAACTCCTCGAAACCAGCCGGGGCATAGCAGGACTTGCATAGCTCACTAGTTTGCAGAATGAAGGAATACGAGGGGTGAGGCCTATCCCGTTTGGTGTGGCGGTACCAACACTACTCGCCCTTCCAGTAATTACAGAACAGGGGTGAATAGTCCCCAGCTGAACCCTCCTAAACCTGGTTCCTAGCAAGCCATGTTTTCCGGACAGAAGGAGGCGCCTTGTTCAGAATTCAACTTTAAGTTAATTCAGTCTTAACATGAGACCAAACTAGCTTAGCCTCTAAGTGGGTAAAAAAGGCCAGATGCTTTGCAGCCCATCTGCCGAAGTTGTGGTGTGTAATTACTCCATTTTCAATAACTAGTCCAAAGCTTAACCCCCCTTTGGAGTCCAGCGTCTATTCCTTTTTAGGCTGTCTAAGTCACTGAGGCATAGAACTGGCCTGTCAGGGCAGTAGGTTTTTCCACCATGCAGACTCCACGTTTCCCTGCGCTTGCTGTACGGATGCGACAAGCCTCGATCATACTGAAGCGCAAACATCCACCTTAAGAGCAGCTAAAATAAATAGCCTGAAGAGCTTAAGAGCCTTGCATGAAAAGAACTCTTCAGATTGGTCCATGGACCAGACGGGCTGTTGGGTGGACACACACCTACCCCAACCAGTGCTGGGCGAGAACTCAGCCCTTAAAGACACTATTCTAGGTATTCTGTGACCTGCCATGATTTGTGTTTAACAAATACATTCCAATCAATTGGCTTTTGTTGGCTCCTAAAACAAACAGGGTTTGGAGGTGAGCTGCTAGCCTCGGGCACAGGCTGGGGCGGGGGAGGGGGTTCTGTGAGGAACCCGCCCTCCCCAGGGGCTTCAGCAAGCTGCTGCAAATCGGGGCAAATCCCTCACTCAAAGGAAGTGTAACGTGCTCTCACTGCGCACCCCCCTGGGGAAGGCCAGGCCCAAGGCGGCGCGCTCTCAGGTCCACCTCATGCATTCTCAAAACGGACACCCCACCGCTGTTGGTCTGCGCCGCTATGGCTACCATACTGGTCTGTAGGTCGAGTGTCCCTCCGGCCAGGCCTGGAAAGCTCAGCGCAAGGGTAACTCAGTGAACCCCAGGAGTTAACCCCGGCAATCAAACGCGCACAGCAGCGAGCGCTGCAGAGGTTCCAGGGAAGCCAGCAGAGCCCCAAGGACGGCCTAGGCTACCTGCTGTGTGCCCACAGTGAGGCTCCCGGAGTCCCAGCCCCTCCGCTCCGGGTGCCACAGGCAGGCCCAGCCCAGCCGAAGCAGGAGAGAGCAGGAAGGAGGAGGAGAGGGAGCTCTGAGCCAGGCTGTGTTCAGGCAGCTAAGTCCTGTTGGGAAGAGGCCAGTGATGTGCTGGGAGGGGGCTTTTCGAAGCCCTTTGTTAGCTCTGCCTCCAGAGGAGGAAGCACCGAATCTCCTGCCTCCCCAGGGCCCCACAGACGCTTCAGAAGGGCAGGTGCAGGAAAGGGCCAGGCTGTGCCAGAGACAGGACTTGCAAACATGCACACAGCTGTGTGGGGCTTCAAAGCCGGTCCCCCTCCCAACAAAGCCCAGTGTCTCTGACCGGACTCTCCCCCACCTTGTCCCCACGTACTTCAAAGTCATTCACAGGATCTCCTGCCTCCCCAGGGCCCCACAGACGCTTCAGAAGGGCAGGTGCAGGAAAGGGCCAGGCTGTGCCAGAGACAGGACTTGCAAACATGCACACAGCTGTGTGGGGCTTCAAAGCCGGTCCCCCTCCCAACAAAGCCCAGTGTCTCTGACCGGACTCTCCCCCACCTTGTCCCCACGTACTTCAAAGTCATTCACAGGACTC